AGTGATACTGCTGGCCATCACGCGCCTACCACAGCACCCTCCTCCTTTATCCTGGCTTGGGACGGACATGATACCAAAAAATGATTTCATGGCGGAGTTTTTGAACTCATTAGATATTTAGATCGTTGGGGTGTTTTGTTGTGTTAATGACATAAATGGTTGGAAGATCGAGATATCAAAGCATATATTAGTACTTGGTTATTACTCTGTATTAGATTATTGCATGTTAGTGCTGAGACCGATCTGGCCCATATTAACATCTCTAGTCATGAGTCCTTTCATCATGTAACTGTGTAACACCATATTCACTCCCTCAATTTTGTCCTTATGATGCACTGCCATTGGCCCATTTGTAGCATAACCTTATCTGGTGCAATCAGTTGAATGTCTCAAGTTTTAAGTCGAAACTCAATTTGAAGTGATTCAGACTCCAATCAAGCTTCAAGTTACAAGTCTAAATTCAAGATCAAGTCATATATAGTTTCAAGATTTCAAGAATTTTTTTCATATTTAATCAAGTTCAAGTTAAAAGTCAAGATATTAATAGGTGTCCTACATTTTGCACACGGATAATGCACTGATTGCACACGTGTGTAGTGATTTTCTGTGTTCAAGCTCAAGTCATATGCAGTTTCAAGATTTCAAGTTTTTTTTTTCATATTTAATCAAGTTCTAAGTTAAAGTCAAGATATTAGTAGGCGTCCTACATGTAGCACAGATAATGCACTGATTGCACACGTATTGTAGTCAGTGGCGGATTTGAAAATTAGGTTTTGGGTGTTCAATACCTTTTTACAATTACAAATTTAAAGAGTAATAAATAATTATACCAAATTTACACACATATACCTAAATGTTTTTCAAAATTTTGGGTGTTCATGTGAACACCTTTTAACATGAGTGGCTCCGCCACTGATTGTAGTGAAGTGTTCAGCATAGCTATATATGCAGTTTCAAGATTTCAATTTTCCCCATATTTAACCAAGTTCAAGTTAAACTCAAGATATTAATAGGCATCCTACATGTAGCACAAATAATGCACTGATTGTGCACGTGTGGTAGTGAATTGCATTCAGCGTAACTATACCAAGTATGTATGTTGTGTTATAAAAAACGTCATGCGTATACATTTGTTGAGAACTTGTATCTTTTACCTAGTCTTAGTATCACATGTAAAATGCTGTTGTAATAGATTACTCACCTTTTGAAATTGCTGTGGTAGGTGGATATGAAAATGGTTCTCCAGCCCGCGGATCACAATCTGGTGGAGATTCTACTAATACAACAGTTTGTGATCAAACCCTGCTTTCTTTTATTTTTGGTTATCACTAGCCTACATATGCTTCTTTGGCTAATGGTTTTCCCTCTCAGATATTTGTGGGAGGCCTTGACCCAAATGTTGGCGATGAAGATCTTAGGCAGCCTTTCTTGCAGTATGGTGAAGTAGTTTCTGTGAAAATTCCAGCTGGGAAAGGATGTGGATTTGTGCAATTTGCTAATAGGTGGTTTATATATTTTCATGTCTCATTTATGGAACTGCATTAACTATCTATCTCTTTTTTGGGATTGAAGTTATTTAGTAACACATAGTTTTTGGCAGAAATGACGCTATAGAAGCCCTAGAGAAGACGAGAGATCTCGTGATTGGGAAGCGGACGGTTCGCCTTTCTTGGGGACGAAATCCAGTGAGTAGACAATCAAGACCTGATGTCGTCAATAACCCATGGACTAGTCCATACTACGGTGGACACTTCTACGGAGGAGGTTACGGATATGGGTATGGTTATGGTTTCCCTGCAGTACGCCCTGACCCCAGCATGTACACTTCTACCCCTTATGCCGCTTATCCAATGTACGGTCCCCCCCGCCGGCCACGAGTGAGCTGAACTGTGTTGCCTCCACATGAGCAGAACCATTTTTTTATTGGAGTTTGAGATAGTAGTTATACCTAGAGAATCTTATGGATAATTGACTTCGAAGTTTGGACAGTTTTATATTTTATTGAAATAAATGTCTTTTGGAAAACAGGTTATGTGTGGCTTCATGCTTCCATTGAAGTAAATGGTGAGCAAAACCAGGTAAGATCATTAAGTATGTTTTCCATCAGATCCCTTTGTGACCATTATTATTCTCAATTCTCATCATTGAATATTCACTTATGTGCGACGCATGAAGTGACTATAAGGCAATGTTGAGAATAATAAATAAAAAATTAATTTGCACTTAATAAACTATAAGAGCAATAATGAAACTAAGATTCGGATCTAGGCTCCATTCGATTTGACGACTTGAAAAGTTCCTACCAATTCTGAATTGTGCCCAATTTATAGCACTTGATACTCCGTAGCTTGTAGCGTCGTTTATTAATCAGTTTACCACATCTAAGGCCATTTGGAGTTCTTATTTACTTCATGCAGACATGCAGTCACTTAAAGTTGCGAAGAATTATTAGTACATTCTTAGGGCTCATTTGATAACAATGAAATTAGTTGAATCGTTTGATTTTGTTGAAATTTATGAAGTCTTGTTGCAGTATTTGGATGTGATTTTGCTGAATTATGAAAAAAACTATGTGAAAAATAGATAAAATAATCATCTACAATAAGTTCAGACAATTCAATCAAAAAAGTAATTCAAATTTTACTTATTTTGATTATTACAATTCAGCACGTGAAATCAAAAGTTACATATTTGGTGAAAAGATTTTTTTATCGTTGGTGAAAAAGTTTGTTGATAAGGCTAATAAGTTGAAAAAACAAGTGTGCTTAATCACTCTATCATTCCGGATCTCTCCGGATCTGCCTCATGGATTTATATATTTTAATCAGGCCTGGATGCCTGGTTATCTGTAAAAGGGTACATTAACAGCATACTTTTTCATTTTTCGATAAAACGAGACATTTCAGATCTTTTTAAATATTGAATTAAAAGATTGAACCTCTTAGTTAGAGCTGTCAAACGGGCCGACCCAACCCGACCCGTAACGGGTTATGCTTTATGCGGGTTGGGTCGGGCCAACCCGTTTAATGACGGGCCATAATTTCTTCAACCCTAACCCAACTCACCTAACCCGTGGGTTAAACGGGTTGGCCCGCGGGTCAATGTAAAAAATATATATATAACAAAAAAAACTTTAAAAATAATTACCCGGAAGTATATATTTATATTAGTAAGTAGTAACAAAGGAAATTTTGCCATTACGCTTGGTTCAATAAAAGATTGGATTTTCCAAAAAAAAAAGTAATAACAAAGGAAATATAAGAAATCAAAATACTAAAAATTCAATACTTGTTAAGTTTAATTAAAAAATATTAAATACTAGTTATACGAGAATTTGAAAACTATAAGAGGGTATGCGACAAAAATACTCATTGTATAAAAATAAAGATCTACACAAACCTTTTGATTGATTATTTGTAAATAATGACTATTAATTGTTAAATATTGTATCGAACTTCACATAAAATATACTTTTCAACATTTTATTTGATTATTTATTATAGAAACAAATATTGTTTTGTCATGGTTGTAATCTTTTAATTGTAATTATAATAATATTGATAGTAAAAGAACAATATTTATGATAATAAAATTCAAAACTATATTTTTATATTTTGGCCCGCGGGCCAACCCGCAACCTGGTGGGTCAACGCACTTATACCCGCAACCCGCATGGGTTGACCCACGAAACCCGCGAACTAAATGGGTCAGAAATTCTCAACCCTAACCCACCAATAAATGGGTTTAAACGGGCCAGCCCGCAGGTTCCGGCCCATTTTGACGGCTCTACTCTTTCAAATAAAAATATTAAACCTCTAAGTGGGTTAAGTTGCAACTAGTATTCGGATTGAAGCTCTGATTAATCGCACATTGATAAGTCTATATTAGAGTATGGTTTAGGCAATAAGTAGGGCAAGATTTAAAAATTATTGTGGTAAAAAGAAGTCTAATTTTTACCTAAAAATAATTTTAAAAATAAGTAGGACAAAATTACACTATTATTACTGTTATTGTACATGTGATTCGTATCAACCGTAAGTTATTGTTGTAGCCTTGTAGGTAGTTTTCAAAATAATGAATTATAAATATAGTACTAATGCTATCATTACCCATATGTCATACTACGTATAGTAGTTATTAATATATAAAACCATATGTTATCATTATTACCAGTGATAATATAATTAGCACACAATTATTATTAATAATGTATTTTTTTTGTTATGCGTATGTTAGTATTAGTACACAAATGCAGGTTAATGGTATTTGTAATATAATAATAATAGTAGTAGTAATACTACATAATACAATGATTTGATAGTGCTTATAAAACTGATAATCCTAATTATAAAAATTAACGGTAACAACAATTATATTTATAATTATAATTACAACAAGATTTTTGACAATTCAGGAGTTAGTGGTTAAGTCTACCATTATGTGAAACAAAGCAATTATAGTGTCATTATATTCGCTTTAGCATCTTGAATAGCATGTCCAAAACATCCTAATCATTCACCTTCTCATAATCTAATTGTTTCAAGTTTCATAAATTAAACAAGAATTCAAAAATACCTTAAAAGGCTTTCATCTTACTAAATTACTTTGCAAGGAACTTGATGCACCATGCATCATAGATTCATAATGGTAAAAAAGAAACACTTGGGAAACATGTTTTAGGTTAATTTTGTCATCGTAAATACTGTATAAGCTAGACTTCTTTCAAGCCTGATGAAGTAAACATGTTTTATTATAGTCAGGTTGTTCTAAAAATAAAATAAAATAATAGTTAGGCCCAAGATTATTACGAAGTAAACATAAATTTAATAAACACTTCTTAGTAAGCAATGTTTATTAAGCGACGAAGTAAATGTCCTTGGACATAACTTCATTGTCTTCTTCCATATCTTCATTAAAGTGTTTTTCTCCATACCATATTACCAACCCGTTTTCAAGAAAAAGTGGTTGAAGTCTCATTTCTAAAGCGATATAATTAGATTCATTTAGATCAAGTTCAAGCACTTCATTTCTATACTTGATTAAATGAATAATCAAATGATTCATATTGTAACATTATGGTAGTAAAGTGCTAACTAAAAGGCCTAAACCCCCAAGAGAATGCAACTAACAAATTACACATATACTTTGAGTTGACTAAGTGTTGTATTTACATCCAAAAAATAAGCAAGAAATATTGGGCCAAAAAGGCTTCTCAAAGCATACATAACAAATACCATAATATTTAGCCTAAAAATGTTCTCCTTTTCCTGACCTAGGGTGGTCGCCTTTGTTGCACCCCATAAGGCCACCTGACGGGCACCCGTGAAAGAACTCTCAAGTCTCAACTCCTTTTACTTACCTGTTGTTTTATAATATCAGCTGATTAGGCAACAACATCAAATAACACGAATTTCTTTTTATAGAAAATCTAAAGAAACTTGCAAATATGCAGAAAAACTTGTCTAAGGGACAGGAGTCACATGATACAAGAACTTCACTACAAATAGCAAGTCATTTGAACCACATATTAGTTTCTGTGAAATATGATGAACTCTACCCTGAGTTGGAGAACTTTAAGGTTACTCATGTTTTCTTTTCAGGTCGATCAAATTATTTAAGGAACAAATTTCACTTAAAATATTAAATACAATGGTTCGCTTTTCCCTGCAAGTGGGTTTTGAGATATTTGCCAATGAGGCTAACACTGAACTGTACAAATGAAAAAGAATGGTCATCACTTACATAACCACAACAATCTCAGGAAGAGTTTCTTAAGAACCACCTCTGATGGCTTATTCTTTCTTCACTTGGAAGACTTTTCCAGTCTTGGAAGATGTAGTTACTAGTGTTCCATTATCAGACATATAGTAGTAGTTGCAATTGATTCTAGTAACCAAATCAGCCAAATGAGGGAACTGTCCAACATTTAGCTTGAAAGACAGAATCTGCAATTGCAAAACATGTAAAATATGTGTGATCTGCGCAAGTATTGAAATTTCCGCTAGGCTATTGTTCTAGTTTATGAAACAATAATAGAAGTAGAGGAAGGTAGAAGCAATAAATACCCTGAGAAGAAATGCTATGCAGTCATCAAACTGCTGCTCAATCCTATCTGCTTCCATCTCACATCTTGCCTTGATAGCTGAAACACTTCCACCGCTGTTCAGAGTCTGCTGTGTGGTGTAGAAGTCCAATGCAAGTCCGAGGATAGTGTTGATACGGCTAGCAATCAATGCCCACTGGAGGAGGAAGAGGATAAGAAGAAGATGGCATTAAAAATCCTGTACTGCCTCATTTAATGGGAAGCTTGTATCCACGAGCACTCTCCAGTCAGTCCAAAAATAAGGGAGTCTTTGTTTGGTCAAGGTACAACAGTTTTTAATTTTGAAAAGGTAGAACTCTTAAAAACCACGCCACCCGTGTTTTAAAAATATAGTTCATCTAAACTTTGCCATATTTAAAATGTTTGTAACTCTTTCTTGGCAAATTACATGAAACATTAGTTTCGCTTGATCGAAAAGAACTCTTTTTTGGACAAAAACAATTGTAACAGAACCTTTTTTGGATGAAGCAACATTTCTCAGTATGCTAAACAAAATAAGTATTACAAAATTTGATAAATACCTCTGACCCTAAATATTATCTTTTCCTTAAAGGAAAAATGTGTGGTTGATATGATTTTACACTTTCTAATAAATATCAACTACAGAATTTTATTATCATAGAACTAAGAACTCTGAGCAAAGTCAAACTTTGAAATGAAAAAGGGACGAAGGGAGTAGTAACGAGAAGATGGAGAGATTATGTACTAACGAGTTTGTCTGGAGCAACAAAGCATTGCCTCTGTATAGATGTCAAATACGCCTCATGTACTTCAATGACTTCATCCAATGATGCCGCTGCTGCCATGCCTTCACACAGTTCGCGCCATGCACTGTGATACACCTATTCAGGTTCACATTACCAGAGAGACCCTAAGAATGTTAGTTATACTTCTATTAAGGTTTGGGAACTATTAGAGAGGAATCAACGATAAGTGATTACCCTGTCCATCACATATTGGTGAAAAGCATCAACAAAATGGAGAAGCTTTTGTTCCAACAACCAGTGTCGCTTGCGATTAGCTGTTGCAGTGCTTCTATCCTGCCAGACACCCACCCAATAAAAGGGGAAAAAGAAAGTTGATCAATCACCCGTTAGTTAATTGCATGTTCAAATGCAATTTCAAGTGGAAGTAGTTTAAGAAAAGACCTTCAACATCCATCTTCGCACTTTATCCAGGACAAATTTTGCTCGTCTGATCTTTAATAAGAACCTCATCACCTGTATAATATTGTAAATTTCAATTTTCATCCTCCAAGTAAAAACTTATCATTATTGGTGCATGATATTGGTGTCCTCTCGCTTTTATTCGTCACACATTTCCAGCAAAAACTGATCAAATCTTGAGTAAATCTGTCCTAATTTCAACAAATTTGTTAAACTTTTTAACTTAACTTTTAATTCAATAACCAAATTTGACAAGGACACCAAAGTCATGGGACCAAAGCATGATACTTAATAACGAAAGAGAAGATAAAGTGATTTGCCATAGTAAAAGAAAGTGAGAGCTACCCGGTTGTATTTTTTTATTGCCTCTAAATTAGCAATAAGTTCAAGTGGCCAAGAGACCTGTTAAAAAATATATGCGAATCAAAATTTAAAATAATGTCAGGAAATGGAAACAGTGCTTTGGATATAAACAATACCATAAATGCAAAAGTTACCTTATATGTGAATGTCAGTGAATCAAGGCTATCAATACCAAAGTTCTGACCTCGACTTATCCGGGGGGTTAAAGTAGGAACCACTAAATTATTTTTCTTATCCTCAGTAGCATTTCTTGAGATGGACACAACCAGCGAATCTGGTGTATTAATCAATATGGCGTCAGCAGAGTTACGTATTGATTCCTGAGAGAAATTACAGTGGATGCACTCAACTTTAATAAACCAAACCACGTGGCAAGTATACCCACTCGAAGCACTCACCTTTGATTATTGCTCCCCCCCACCCACCCACCCACAGGAAAAACTAACTTGAAATTGCCTAGTATATGCCAGGAAGAAACAATGTAAAGGAAGAAACTATCTTGGCAAACACATAATAAAGATTGTGGAATCACTTAAGTGTGTGTTTGCTGTTTACTCAACCATCACACCTGTAAAATCATGTTTAAATCAAATTCATCATCCAAAGATTCTCCTTTGTCTAACTTATTGAAAACCATTGTGAAGAAGTGCTGCAACAGATCACCTGGAGAAACCAAAAGTCCCAAATATTATTAAAGACAGCCATAGAAACCCATCATTCAAATAGAAGTGAACAGAGCACACAGATTATCTAGAGAAAGCATGGATTAGTCTTGCTAACCAAAACTTATAGTCTCACACAAACTGAACAAGTATTTAATACATAAAAAAGATGAGAAAAGCCCAAACTCTAGAGGTTTACCAGAACCTAGCAAATATATGGCACGTAAGACTCCCAGCTCATCTAGAAGTCTCCAATCACATAGTAATTTTGATAATATATTCCTGCCAATACAATTTGCCTGCAAAGTGTAAGGCAAGGTCCATGCATATTATATCTTTAAAAAATAAAGAATGCACAACAGATCTATAAAATGAGAAACTGCCAGCAACCTGTTTCTTGATAAAATTAATGAGACACTCTTGTAGAATAACCAAGGGAAGGGGAGTGCATTTTGGCTCAATGTTCTCAATCCAGCTTAGGGTTCTTGATGGAAGTGTGCTATTTTTTTGGAAAGGTAAAACATCAGAAAGTTGAAGGTCTTCCTGTTCAGCACACCAAAGAAAAGATTCAAACTCCAAAAAAACAGAGTACACTTGAGCATCTATTCTCGAGAGTTAGCAGGCAAACAGAAACTAAGGGAGAAGCAAATAAAGGAAATAATAGTAGACAATTTGCTTGCTCACTGATGCATTTAGTTAATAAAAAAGTGAAAGATATAGGAACCATAAATCTGGGAGATCTATTGGAAGATTGCACCAATTCACTGTAAAACAGAGTCCTTGACATGTCATGACAATCCATTTTGACACATAGTCAGTTGTAGTTGTAGTTTGTGATATATGAATGCATCCTACAAAGTTTAAAGCACTGGGACACAATTTTGACTATTTCTAAATTTTCATTACTATTTATGCATTAGAAAGACACTTATTAGTACCTAGAAAGACCCCATCTCAAATTACATGAAACCCTGACACAATTTAACCCTACGGTGACCAAAGAGTTTGGGGCCAACCATTTCAACTGAACTAGCTTTGAACTCTGAATCTATACAAGTATATAAAGTTGAGCCCTCCAAACTAATGATCAACTCATACAAAAAGATATGAGAATGAAGCTGAAATTTTATCAAAAACAACCAAATGATTCTTTTGTATTTCAGCGATGAGAAGTTCTGAGCCAAAAGGTGAATACCTGGAATGGTGGAAGAAGAGTTGGAAAGGGAAACAACTCTTGAAGAAATTTAGAATCCTCCTCCATACGAATACGTTCAGATTCACCAAACTGTGAGCCAAATACGTAGTTGGTATTTTTAGGGGTCAGAGACACATCAACGCTTTCACTAAATATAGCAGTTCTTAGCCCCTCATCGTCTAGAGGGGGCAGGAAGTAACTTTTAGATAAATTCAAGGCATCCCAATAATCTCTATTTTCAAGGAGAAAGTTTCGGCTCACAGTCATTGCTGGATTTCCAGGTATAAATGTTTTCTGGAGCTCATCTATCCCCAGTAAAGTTACCTTCTCCCGTTTCAGATCAATGCCATCTGCATTATCATTACTATTGGATTCCTTTTTGTTTTGACAAGAAGTATATCGCAACAGCTTATACCATTCTTTGTTTGAGCACATAGGTATATTTAGAGACATGCTCTTCTCCATTTCCTGATTAAATGATTCAAATGATGGACGGACTTCACTTTCCAGTTTAAAGTATTCGGAGATGTGATCCCCATAGCCAATAAGAGCTGCTAAAGAGATGCAAAATATCTCTGACAAGGTTAACGCTGTGGTTCTCTGACTGCTCCCTTGACCCCTAATAGGTCTTATTAAAGACATTGATGGAGTATATCTGATCAGCTGCAGAGACTTTCCAGCAGAGACGATTGTCCTTGATATGCTTTTCATGAACAAGGGACATGCTGAACAATCAGTCCCCTGTATTTCTTTTCCGTTGACCAAGGAGACTGATTCTCGAATGGATATATCTTTTCTCTCCCTGGTTAGTGGTATAGAATCACAAAGCACATCAAGCTTCTCAGAATTTTTCAATCTCAGCAAATAGCTTTTCTCCCAAAACTCCGCCTCATTAACGGTGACTGCTTCATTAGCATAAAAGAACATCTGCAACATGCCAAAATAAGAAGGCATTAGTTTTGCATGTAGTGTGGAACTGGTGGAACCATGGAAGTAAACAATAACTTAAATGTATCAGAGCTGGGGATGCCTGGCGCCTCATGTGACATTACAAAACTTATCTCTTCCTGTTAGGTTCTCCAGATAAGAAAAAAATTACAAAAAAAAGTTACCTCCTCAAAAGGATCATCAAGAGCTCCTTCGAATAGCCATGAATCCAAGGTTTCAATATACGGCAAAATAGTTCCAGCAAACACATGCAGCGTCATCCGATATGCATCCTCCTGAAAGCACCAGATCTAGTTCAAGTAAAACAACCATATAATCCAAGGATATAATGATATGCACATGTTTGATAAGTGCCTGTATGGTTTTAACAACCTCACCCCCTTTCAAAAGACAAACTTCATTCAATTTGTTATAGAGATGGTTAAGAATATGCACAGCAATATCAGCAGAAGATATGGAAGAATCTTGTTCAATGTAGATTTTTGGGATTGCCCCATGCACTATCTGTAGCAGATATTCGGCCCCTGCACACAGACTAATAGAGAATAATTGCTGTCAAGAATAGCACCAAATTCCCAAAGATGATGAAGTCCTATTTATGCTATGCTTGTGCGTAAACACATGATGCAGAATGACTAGTGAAGAAAACTTAAGACTGGGTGAGGACCCATATACAAGTAGGCAAATCAGAGGTCACATAAAATTGTTGATGGGATTCCTGGGCATTTCAAGCAAAAAGAGAAGAAAATGGATGATTAAAACAGGAAATAATGACAAAAAGAATCCAAAAAGGGAGACTAAATGCAATAATAAATCTCAAACACTCCTGCTATGAGTCACAGGTAGAAGTTAGCACTTGCAGTAACTGCGAAATATGCAGTAACTGGTATATGAATGATACTTTCTTCAAATGACTGAGTGCATGAGCAGTAATAATATTGCTACAAGCTATCATTCTATCAGTACTGACATAGGGTATGTTTGGCACAACTAGATAAAAAAAAGATTTTTTATAAGCTTTTTAAGAACGGTTAGCTTTTAGTGACTGAAAAGATTTTAAAAGGAAAAGGTTGTAGCTGTTTGATAAAAAGCTAACTGTTTGATGTAGTTCTGTTTGGTATAACAAGCTATTGAGAGTAATTAATGCTAAAAGCTACTGACTTTCTCCTAGATGCTACCCACTGTAACATCTCAAAAAAGATCTTTTATTTTGTAAAAAACTATTAAAATTGCCCTACCAAACATACAACTAGAAGCTTTTGAAGACTTTTTAAATAGTACAAAAACCAGAAGGCGGGGATCTGCTAAACATGAACATAAATTTACTGACTTTGATAAAGAATTGGACAATCCTAGGAGGGTTGGAGAAGTTCCCATATTTGAGTTGCTTATCTTATTCTCCTCTTTCAGAGCATCATCACGTAGCCTCTGCACCAAGAGATTAAAGAAATGATTATGTTTCAATAATGAGCAAGAAAACTTAAAACTGAAAGATTTCATATGCTAGTAGATTCATACTCTGAGCCACGTAGAGATAGAGAATACAAATGCCCTCACAGTGGGTGGAGGAACTCTCGCAGATTTCTCAACCTTATTGACAATTATTTCAACTATTTTTAAGGATGTTGCAGCATAAGTAAACTGATTGAGGATGAGATTAAGACTTGTCTGCGACAGGTGGGCAACGAAAATCCCTCTTTTAGGGAAAAACTTTTCTCCTGTATCATCCCAATAAAATAAATAGCTGGACAAACCCTGTAACATCTGCAAAACTCCTTTCACCTAATGTACAAAGATAAATGGAGAAAAGATTTAGCAGAACTGTAGCAAGTTTTACCCCCATCAAATGCATTGACTAGATTATATGACTTACTAAATCAACTTCATTTGTCCGGAGTGATGCGATTGGCTCCACAAAATGTAATCCGCCAGAGAAGGAATCGTAAATTTTTTCTATTAAACTTGTAGAGGTTCCCATGTTTCTTCGACGAGATGGAAAGGCTGGGTGCAACAAGAGTTGATGGGCTTCTTTTTGCAGAAAAAGAGCGGATAATTGGAGGCGACGAGAGGGAAGCAGTGCACACTCCACTGCACAGTTACACACCGGAGAAAGCTAAATATCTATTGGCCTTCGGCGGCTCATAATAATGGTCTAAATCATCCCAAATTTTAATTTTTGCTCTTAATTTTTACTCTTAATATCAGGTCATGGACCATGAGGACTACTCAGGTCCTTCCGGAGGGACGAGAGGGACCGTCCGAACTTTACTGTTTGGGGCGGTTCCCGGTGGAATTTTTTGATGAAATTTTTTGGGCATGTTCCTCATCAAGTCTAGTTTGTCCATACCAAATTTCAGCTCAAAATTCGACCGGGAAGCAGTCAAATAAATTCTTGAAACTTACTGCACTTTATATATGCGCATAATGTGCAGTAAGCTTCAAGAATTTATTTGACTGCCTTTCCGGTCGAATTTCGAGCTGAAATTTGGTATAGACAAACTAGACTTGATGAGGAACATGCTCAAAAAATTTCATCAAAAAATTCCACCGGGAACCGCCCCAAACAGTAAAGTTCGGACGGTCCCTCCCGTCCCTCCGGAGGGACCTGAGCAGTCCTCCATGGACCATTATTGGCGGATGGTCCATATAGTTGGGATTATATAAAAATAATCAATAGTTGGGATTATTGTTAGCGGACTGACAATAGTTGGGATTATTATTTTCAATTTTTCCTTACAAAAATAGATTATTTTCAATTTTTCTTTTTTTTTTGCAGAAGGGGGCTTAGACACATATCACAGCATTCAGATAGATGTTAAAATAACAAAACAACCACATGTAACCATTCGCACTTGAATCGGACTCAGAGTTACTCACCTTAGACAAAGCAATAGAGAAAATTCCCTAAATGGGAGTAAAAATGTTTTGAAATTCCAAAATAGGAGTATCATGTTTTTTATTTCCTAAATAGGAGTAAATTTCTGTCAAGTTTGGCATTACAAGGCTTTTAACATGGCATTTTTTTCCAAACTTGGAAGATTACTCATATTCAGGGAATAAAAAACATGATACTCCTATTTTGGAATTTCAAAACGTTTTTGCTCCTATTTAAGGCAATTTCTGAAAGCAATATAACTCGTTGATCCTAATTTGGTCATAACTGAACCAAAGACTGTTACCGCAAAACTCTCATCATACAATCCTAATGCAAAAGTCTTACAGCACCAAATAAAATAAAAACAAAGAACAACAATCTTGACGTGGAAATTAAAACGCAAAACAGCATTAAATAAAATCCAAAGCTTGTTTTCATCGGCAGAAGCACCACTCGCATAATCGGCGGGTCTAGAAGCCCGGACCCGCCTCCACCCCACTTTTTTGCTTTATCCAGAAACATGTTCTCGCTTACTGGGTCCTCTAGTGACTGCTCTTCTCAAATCTTTCTACGCTTTTGGTCCACTGGCACCTCCTCGGTACTGCCTATGCCTCCTTTGGTAACACTATTATATGTTCCTACTGTAGACTCTCGCCCTCCTTGTCCCCCAGTACCTTCACCCTCTTGATATGTTCTCCTTTGCTGTCTGACCACCCCTGAGCTTGAAGATTTTTTCACTAGCCATTTATTGCCCCCTATTGGACTAGTCTTCACCCCACCACCCACTCGAAGCTCTACCCCAAAAGATTTTTCCAAAATTATATCCTCCTCATATTTTAAGGGACAGAATTTATCAGAATGCTCAATCACCCCACAAATGAAACAATAATTAGGGAGGACTAGTTTTTCATATTTGAAATCCACCCAATGTCCAATACCACCTCTCTTAAGGGTATTCTTTTCAAAACTTTACTTATCCTGTAATTGATAGCATAACCAAAAAAGTCATAAAAAAACAATTTAATTCTTCGAAAAATTGGGTCATGAATATTACTAATCAAAATAATTTGGACAAATATAAGACTTGTTTTAGTAGTTACCAAAAAAGAGACCATCGTGTCCATGTGTCTCTTTCATAAACTTGAGGATTAAAATCTCAAAATTACCGATGTCTAATTATTACACAGTAAATATTTTTCCCAACTAAACTAACGCTATTCCTTATATCGATGATTGGACACTAAAACACTAATCTCATATTACGTTGATCGCAATGTGAAGCGGATTCATTGACGAAACTATGGGGAAGAAACATGAAGTTTTCGCTGGAATGGAACAGAAGAGTACACAAGGTTGAACATGAAATTTTGAATCGTATATTTATTACACAGTTCTTTTTTTGCGAGGTGTATTACACATTTCGTATTCGAATTTGACTGTCTCTATTTCGAAATTTACATTAAAATTTAGTTGTTGTAAAACGCAATAGTAATACATAGCCTTGGAATAAAAGTGAAAGCATATGAGTGATTATTTGTAGTTACCAACCATTATGTATTTCTGTTTGAGGTATGTAGGTATTTTTGATAGAATTTCTTACAAGTTGTGTGTAACTATATGAGCGGATGATGTAACTATGTTTGTTCTATGTGACTGCAAATGCAATTGAAAATGTAACATTCTATATATTTGGGGGCGGGTTATGTAACTGGTTTTTAAAATTTGTTAAAGTAATCTTACTATTAAAACCAAGTGATTTACCGTAAAACTGTAAGTACAACAATATCTAACTGTAATTGTGAACTCAGAGTTAAATGAGTAATTGTAAATGTGAATATAAATGTAATTGTAAATGTGAATAATAATTGTAACTTAAATATGAACACAAAGTGGTAACTGTAAATGTGATCATGAAGTGGTAACCGTAAATGTGAACATGAAGTGGTAATTGTAAATGTGAACATGAAGTGGTAACTGTAAATGTGAACATGATGTGGTAACCGTAAATGTGAAGATGGAGTGGTAAATGTAAATGTGAAGATGGAGTGCTAAATGTAAATGTGAACATGAAGTGGTAACTGTAAATGTGAAAATGTGAATAAGAAAAAAAGTTCTAACTGCAAATGTGAATGTAAAGTGGTAACTCTAAATGTGAACATGAAGTGGTAACTCTAAATGTGAAGATTAAGTGGTAAATGTAAATGTGAACATGAAGTGGTGACTGTAAATATGAATAATAATCGTAATTGTAAAAATCAGTAACTGTAACTATAATGTAAGTATGTAATTGTAACTAAAATGGAATACATAATGTTGACATTATTTTTTGAGTTTAATCGAATTCGGATTCATTTATTTGTTCAAGTTGCAACACGTGATGTTGACATTATTTTTTTTATGGAGGATGGAACAAGGATAAAACAAATCTGTGTAAAGCAACATACAGATTGTTAATTTATCCAAATGCCTCTTATTGTGACTTGCTTTATGAGATACGAGGTGCTTTGGAGCTTCAATCAAATGTGAAAATGTTATGTATGTCATATCAAATAGACTAAGCATTTGAGCCAATGATTATAGATAATGATCAGTGTAAGATTTTATTTACACCTTAAGATGGGTGTCAATCCTGATGTTAGAAAACTCATTGTGTATTCGAATTGAAAATGATAAGGTAGTTACTGATGTGGATATGGACAACCACATGACACTTGGGAGGAAGGTCTTTCACGGTTCAATTTGAATAATGAATATCCAGGAACTCTGAACTATGTACTGGAGCACCATCCACATCAGGTCAACTTACAACTTCTTCAACTAGTTCATTATTGTCGTGGAAAGACGATAATAGAAGTGGAATATTGGATGGAATGGACACAACATTAAGGATCCATGGGCTATATTCGAGTAAAGAGAAATTGAAAGGAGACTTTACAGATATTTGCCTTGCACAACAAATTTGAATTCAAAACAAGAACTTCGAATCCTTGGGTTCTCCATGTTATTTGTGTTGATGAAATGTGTAGTTGGGCTGTCCATGGAGTTAGAATTGGGGGAACAGATTGTTTTGAAATATGGAGGTAGTTCCAGAGGGTATTTTTTTGCATTACTTAAATTCATTTGTTAAGAAATGAAAGTATTGTTTTTTTAACAACTTTTATTTAATATGTGTAGGCTTGAAATGGTGCATTCTTGCTCAATCGATTATGACTTCGAGCGAAAAGACAAGCAACCACTGCGGTTATAGGAAAACTGAATAAGCATCAATACCTTGATGCTTTCAGAAAGTCGTATCAACCAAAAGCAATAATTGTAGACTTAAGCAGGGAGTTAGGGTTGAATGTGAATTGCAAAAGGCATGAAGGGGAAAACAGTGTGTCTTGACTTCAATATACGGAACATACATAGAATCGTATGCAAAGTCACCGATTTTATGCTACATGCTAAAAAAACAAATTCAGGCTCACTTATTTCACTTGACACTGATTCGAAAGGGAATTTCAAGACATTGTTTATGTCACTAGGAGCTTGGAGAGAAGGATGAGCTTCTTGTCGTCCAATTATTAGTGTTGATGGTTCTTTTCTGAAAGCCAAGTTTCGCGGAACAATTTTGAATGCATGTTCACTTGATGCAAATAGGCAAACTTTCGCAGTATCCATTGGAATGTGTGAAAGAGAGAACAAGAAGTCATGGTCATGTTTTTTTTTACTAAACTAAAGGAAGCCATTGGGGTTAGAGCTGATATTTGTATTGTGTCTGATAGGAAAGAAGGGCTGATTCGTGCTGCAAAAGATATTTATCCTGATGCTGATCATGGGCATTATGTCCAACATATACTGGGAAACATAACATCCAAGTACAAAAGCAGTGCAAAGAGAAATACTACTTTTTTCAATGCAGCTGCAGAGGTAGCAACATAATGCAAATGAGAGCACTTCATAAAGTTATTAGATACAGAGGATCCTCAAATAAGGTAATTTTTGGCATAATTGGTTATGATAAATGGGCAGGATGTAAGTTTAAGCGGAGGAGATACTCTGTGATGCGATCAAATAATGTTGAATCACTAAACGCAATGGATGTAACCGCAAGAGAACACCCAACATCAATGTTGATTGAGTTCCTAAGGTCAAATATGCAAATGTGGTTTCATGGAGAAGGGAATTAGCAATTGAGAATAATTAAAAATATCTCTTGCAGTAGAGGAAGTGGTAGTTAACCTTCTCAATGATTCTACAGGGATGATTGTAAGTTATTATGTAATTTTATTATAACACAATTAACTATT